CGCAATTAGGTTGGAGGCCATCGCTATTAAGTTGGAGGCCATCGCCATTAGGTTGGAGGCCATTGCTATTAAGTTGGAGGCCATCGCTATTAGGTAAGAGGCCATCACTATTAGGTGGAGGCCATCGCTATTAGGTTGGAGGCCATTGCTATTAGGTTGGAGGCCATCGCTATTAGGTTGGAGGCCATCACTATTAGGTTGGAGGCCTTCACTATTGGGTGGAGGCCATCGCTATTAAATGCTATTAATATTAAGTTGGAGGCCATCGCTATTAGGTTGGAGGCCATCGCCATTAGGTTGGAGGCCATCGCTATTAGGTTGGAGGCCATCACTATTAGGTTGGAGGCCATCGCGATTAAGTTGGAGGCCATCGCTATTAGGTTGGAGGCCATCGCTCTTTGGTTGGAGGCCATCGCTCTTTGGTTGGAGGCCATCGCTCTTAGGTTGGAGGCCATCGCTATCAGGTTGGAGGCCATCGCCATTAGGTTGGAGGCCATCGCTCTTAGGTTGGAGGCCATCACTATTAGGTGGAGGCCACCGCCATCAGGTTGGAGGCCATCGCCATTAGGTTGGAGGCCATCGCTATTAGGTTGGAGGCCATCACTATTAGGTTGGAGGCCATCACTATTAGGTTGGAGGCCATCGCTATTAGGTTGGAGGCCATCGCCATTAGGTTGGAGGCCATCGCCATTAGGTTGGAGGCCATCACTATTAGGTTGGAGGCCATCACTATTAAGTTGGAGGCCATCGCTGTTAAGTTGGAGGCCATCGCTATTAGGTTGGAGGCCATCGCTATTCAGTTCGAGGCCATCGCTCTTTGGCTGGAGGCCATCGCTCTTTGGTTGGAGGCCATCGCTCTTAGGTTGGAGGCCATCGCTATTAAGTTGGAGGCCATCGCCATTAGGTTGGAGGCCATCGCTCTTAGGTTGGAGGCCATTGCTATTAGTAAGTTGGAGGCAGTCGCTATTGAGTTGGAAGCCATCGCTCTTTGGTTGGAGGCCATTGCTATTAGGTTGGAGGCCATCGCTATTATGTTGGAGGCCATCACCATTAGGTTGGAGGCCATCGCTATTAGGTGGAGGCCATCGCCATCAGGTTGGAGTCCATCGCTATTAGGTGGAGGCCATCGCTATTAAGTTGGAGGCCATCGCCATTAGGTTGGAGGCCATCGCTATTAAGTTGGAGGCCATCGCTATTAGGTAAGAGGCAATCACTATTAGGTGGAGGCCATCGCTATTAGGTTGGAGGCCATCGCCATTAGGTTGGAGGCCGTCGCTAGTAGGTTGGAGGGCCATCGCTATTACTGTAGATCATGATAGATCCACATATTTGGCCGACGACGGGTCCGACTCGGTGTCTAGCCATCCCTATAGGAGATGATACTATCAAGACGGTCCGAGAAATGCAGCTGTTCCATGTCTTTCCTGTCTATCCAAGCGACCCCAAATGTTTGCGCACAAATGGAACCTCGGACGGGCAAAAAAGGGACCTGGAAAAGACCAAAGATTCCCATCATCAGTTTTCGACTCCGGGTGGTTATGGCTGGTGGAATCCGGGTCCTTTAGAAATGTTTAGAAAGTCTGGGGGAAGCGACAGGATCCAAAACAATCCAAAAGATCCTCTAGTTTGTTTGATTTTGAGTGATTTAGAAGCACTCCTTGACAACTGAAGGTTCAAACAAATCGAGACTCATCTGCTGAGGCGTCCCAAGGCACCAAAGGACATCGAGCTACATGTCGACTGGCGGGGTTGCTGAGCCGTCGCCAGCCGATTACCTCGCTCTGAGGCTGTGGGTTTCCAAACGGGCCATTGAGAAATTGGGAAAGCTGCTGCCTCTGGATTCTAGCAGTGAGAGTGTTTTGGGCCCGAGTTGCCCTCGCCCTTACTCAATGAAGTCGACGCCGACGAAGTAAAGGCTAAAGAAATACCAGACGAATCTGCTACTTGGCGAAGCGACGATAGCTCACGCATGCTAACGTTTCTATTCATTCGGTTTCCGACACGATTCTTCGTTCTTCTTTCCTTCAAGAAACCTTCCAAAACTCTAAGACGAAGCAGACCGTCTTGGCGTTTCCGTCTCGGTCGGTCTCTCAGATGAAGAAACTCAAGTAATGTACACAAACAGATTCATCAGAACCTCGGACTGGGATCTGACTGGACTACCATACAGTATAACAATTACTACAGTAGACGCTTCCATAGGAACTCCGAACACCCCAAGCGGATGGTTCAAGTACATCTCTGATTCACCTGATCAAGGCTTCCCGCAGCTTCCAGGAGCAATCCTACCTCTCCAACTCTCCGCGTACCGATGACATGTCAAACATCGTCAGACTTTCGACCATCCAACCTGAGATCGGTTTTCGGTTTTGCTGGGTTGTGAAACGATTTGAGTCAATTGGACCCCCGAGGCGGCCAACCAGGAACACTCTGAGGAGAGCGCTCAAGGTCTTCTCATCCATGGATTCGCTGCTGCTGTGCAGCATGGATTCGATGGACGCGGCGATGCCTCGTTTGGCTGCTAATTGTCAACTCCGCCAATGTATGTGTCTATATTTGAACGGTTACATACATTACATTACATTGCATTCCGTTACATTACGTTACATTACACTACATTGCATTCCAGTACATTACACTACATTGCATTGCATTACATTACATTGCATTCCATTACATTACATTGCACTACACTACATTGCATTCCATTACATTACATTACATTGCATTCCATTACATTACATTGCATCACATTGCATGCCATTACATTACATTACATTGCATTACACTACT